CTTTTTCCTAGTTGTTGTATCGTTCTTGGTTGGGTGCACGTCGTCCAGCGCCAAATGTGCTACAGATTGCTTCGTAGTCACTCGATTAAATTAGTGTTGGGGTTGTTTATCTGAGACGGGCGCGGTGGCCTCGGGTTAGAGCGCTTGTTTCCGGATCGAGCGATCCGGGTTCGAGTCCTAGCCGGGGTCATTCTGTTGTGTTCTTGGGCAAGACACTTTATTCTCACAGTGCCTCTCTCCACCCAGGTGTATAAATGGGTAAGGGCGAATTTAATGAACATGGAATCCTTAGGAGTGAATCTATTCTTCGGTTTTAAATATTATCGTTCCCAGATTTTCAATTAGCGATTTAGAAGCCCCTTGTACTATCCTGGTATTCTACTCACAGTCAGTAGCCTCATGTGGCCGGATTCATGGTCGAATTTGAATACAGTAAATACCCAATCGTGTCGTTTTGATTCGCTCGGGTGGTATATGAGGCTGGTTTAGTCTTCTTCTCACCAAAATACGAACCATGGTTGGACTAAATCTCCCTGATATAAACCGACCAAACGGTATGATAGGGCATCTCAAAACCCGAGGCTTATTTCAACGCAGCGCTTACTCCGCGCAAGGCGTGTAACCGAGAAAAGGTTGCATCTCATATTAAAGTGAAATTTGTCACGTTGAGAGCTGGTTAAAAAAAACGGACTTGGATAGGAGTAAACGAATCACTATCATCTTTACACGCAAGCGAAACTCGTCATGTTTTTGCTTTTCGATAAAGTTTGCGATTTCATTTCTGGCATGTTTTGGTCAATTTTCCACATTACGGCCATTTATACGAGGAAAATAAGCCACGGCTTACATAAGACGCAAGCTTACCGTATAAACGGCACATTTTAACCAGTCACGTCTTACACAAGACGCGGATAACACAAGCCGCGGCTTGTGTAAGACGAAGGTTTTGAGCTCGGCTTAAATAAGCCGTGGCTTATATAAGACGCCCGCAAATGGTATCGCGGCTTGTTTGCGGCTTACTTAAGACGCGAACTTATCAGATCACTTTGCGCAAGCGCAAGTTTTTCCTGCGCTCGCGCGACAGCTTGCGCAATTCCGCGATTGCTATGACAACCAACACAA